TCCCCAGCTTTGCACCAGGGAGGGAAGCGCTAGCACAGGAGAGCCCGCAAGGAGCCCCGAGGCCCATGTGCCAGACCCCGCTTTGCTCCAGAGCCCAGGGCCACAGGTGGTAGCAAGGAGGCACCTCTGGACCTCCCTTCTCTTAGCCCCCCGTTCCCAGCCCACCTTTCCCGGGCTGCCTTTGGGAAGCCAGAAGGGCCGCGAGCAGCTGGGACGCGACGCTGCCCTGCTCACATCGATTTCTAAACAGTGGCTGCAAAATCTGGCAAGATGAGGCCTTTCTCGTTCCGCAGCAGCTTGGGAAAAAGAAAATAACCCGGGAGCCGCACAAGGACATGGCAGGACAGCACGGGGTGATTCTGGATTCGGACATGGAAAAGCATTTCTGGAGAGCAAGAGCTGTTTCAAGCGGAGCTTCATGGCCATGGGCTTGACACAGATAGGTGTAAAAATTTAGGCAGACCCTGTTACAGAGCCCTGATTTTCTTTGCAGAATTAGAGAAGTGGATGCAAAGGAGCTGTTGATTCAGACGGTGCCATCACCTGAGCCACGCTGACTCGCAGCCTGGAGGGATAAACTCCTAAGCAGCTTTCTGCAGGTTCACTGCATGCTTGAGGTTGGAAGGGACCTTTGGACGTTATCTAACCCAAGCGAGGTCACCTAGGGCAGGTTGCCCAGCAGCTTTTGAACTTGGTCTCCAGGGACGGAGACTCCCTCAGCCTCACAGTAAAGAAGCTTGTCCTTAAGTTCAGCTGGAGCTTCCTGAAAAAAGCACCGAAAAAAAGATCAGATCCTCAAGCAGAAGACACAAAACTGCTAGTGAACCACAGCCAGGAGGAACCAGAGGTTTTCATGGGCCACCCAAAGGAGCTGGGTGAGAGGCACAGCTCCGCCTCGTATCCAAAATCAGAATCAGCTCTGTCCTGAGCCTGCACAAAGGCTGATCGAGCTGAGCTTAAGTATTTGTACCTTAATGTGCGAGAAACCTTCTCTTTAATGTGTTTGGCATCTCTGCTTCCAGTGGGGGGAATCGTAAAAACTAAACCGGGGTCATCCTTTGGACTTCTATTTTCTGAATAAGTGACAAGGAAATCACTGCAAAAAGTAGCTATTTACCTTGGCTTTCATATGCCTGAAGAGACATCTCTGAATACGAGACAAGGAAATCACTGGAAAAAAAAAGTAATGAAAGTAATATTCTCTGTTCCTTGTGGTAAAATGGGGATTTTTGAGGAAGTTGGCTATTCAGCAGGCATGTTCCTCCAGCATTAGGAGTCTCGGCTTTGGAAGCATCGCAGGAAAAGAGGGAAAACAGGCATCGTGGCGAATGTTTAGGCCAAGGTCCTACACACACAAGCTTGCACAGACTCCCCCTCCGCTACGAACAGCCTTGGAGTCTTCAGTGTGTGACGTAGCTGCCGGAGCGCTTCGCATCTCCAGAGAGCAGGCCAGAGGTTCAGAGGATGCTGCTCAGAACTGAAGCCCCTGAGAAGCTCGGGTTGAGCTAGCCTGGTAAAGTTCACATCGCTCTACAGAGCCGAGAGGAACCTGCCAAAATCTTCTTTTCCTGACATTCCTAATCTAGGTAACTACTTGGCCACGCGACCATAGGCAACTCAGGCTAAACTCAACCCTCTGCAGGGCCAATTGAAGCTGTTTTTACACATTGAGATGGAAAGTTTCCAAAGGCATTAGATGAAAAATCCCCCATGCTGCAATTCCTTCAGCAAAGTAACACAAACTGTACTCGGCAAAGCCAGACACTTCCAGCCCCTTTTTCATACAGGTGTAGAAGGAAGGACAGACTGCAGACAGAGACCAAAGATGTGTCTGTGGTGGGGGAAAAACATGAGCATTAGGGCGTTGAAGATCTCACCAAGCCCACAACGAGCTTGGGTGGCATCTCCACAACGCCCCGTGCCTTGTGCACAAGCCGTGAACACTCAGCGCTGCAGTCGGCAGCGCAGTCCAGGGTCTCCTGCATCCCCCAGGGCTTAGGGAGAGCTGCGGACAGAGGTGGACCCCAGGGCTAATGACGAGGGAGCAGCACAGCGCAGAGGAGCAGCTGCTTCCAGCCCGGCGCGCAGGGACGCTGAGTACCCGGGCCTGCTCGCGCTCCTCCTCAGCGCATCGGGGATGGCAGGGCCAGCGGCGCCCACGCGAGCAGAGCGGAGGTGCGGGAAGGATTTCGGGGCGAAACCCGAGAGCAGCCCTCGGCCAGCTGCCCCTTTCCTCTCCTGCT